GTAGTCGAAACATGCCTCACAAGATCTTCGACTGAGGTGTTTTTTTTTTTGTATCCACATTCTTCTATCTACTCTTCGTTGCTATCATCAGGTATCAGGTCTTCTTTTTCCGAGAACCCACTTTACATCTGTAACCTCCGGACTTCAATGTTACCTTATAATAAAACTACTGCTATCTGTACTGTACTGTATTCGGTACTGCTATCTGTACTGCTATCTGTATTGTAATACTGTATCTATATTATGAGGCAACGAGGCGATTTATTTCGAAAATTACGTATTTGAAATAACTAAGATTTTTGAAAGCCAACAGTTTCTTTTAAAGAGTTATTCTGTAGATATTATTAGAAGAGGGTATTAAATTCATTTCTTTGATGATATACCCTTAATGAAAAAGGTTGTTAGATAAACGTTCCAGGGAATATTTGGTTTTCTGACCAAAACACATTCTTTTCTAAACTGAAAAGTTTCTGAGAAACGTTCTTGTCTTTCGCTAGTAATTTAAATGTTAATATTTTAAATTTATTTTTCTGACATGGTTGTTTTGTTCGTTTTCAATTGGCACATACAATTTCAAACTTATCCTGCAAAATTCTTTATTAATCTTTTACAGCCCCATATTTCATCAAGATCAACAGTTACGGATACTTTTACTTTTTTTTGAGAAGGTAATCATCCTTCAATTAATGTGTGGGAAGTTATTATTTGTTTTGAGTTGGGAATCTGTATAGCTCTTGAATATTTCAGGAATGTATTGACTTGGATGTCAATATATATATTTCTTAAGGTAAACCTGGCTTTAGGTTAATCATTTCCGAGTCAAATAATTATTTCATTTTGCATCTTGCCTCTATATAAGTTTTAGATTTGTTAGCAATGATTTCTAACAACGAAATTCAATTACTATACAGTCTTTAATGTTCCCTAAAAATGAAAAAGTGCACTCACTCTACCTATATTATAATGCACCAGGCCTATTTATTTGGAAAAGTCCGTACTTGAAGTACCTAAAATTTTTAAAAGCCAAAAATTTCTTCAGAAAATTATTCTGCAGACGTTATTACGGCTGTTTTAATTTAAAAACGTCATCGAAGTTTTAAATTCATTTCTTTGATGCTATGCCCATTATAAAAATAAGAAGAGATTCAACGTTGAACGGTTACGTTCCAGGGAATAATTAGTTTCTGACAAAAACACGTTCTTTTTTGAACCGAAAATTTTCCTAGCAATACGTTTGTTTTTCCGTGGCTGCAAGGAGGTTTGGTAATGAATTGTAAGTAGCAATTTAAACGTTAATTGTTTTTTAACTCTGAGGGTCGCAAAATTGTTTTATATCTGTTATATTGAGTTTTTCACAATTTAGTTATTATCATTAATGGTATTCATACGATAGCAAAAGATGAATTTTGAACAATAATTGGTTTCTGCAAAGAATACTCCACATTTTATAGCAATGAGGTATTACAACGAACGGTCATTAATGTTACCATAAATTCATTTCTTTGCTGCTATGCCCATTATACAGATTGAAGGAGATTTAACGGTTACGTCCCAGGAAATAATTGGTTTCCGAAAATAAATAAATTAGATCGTGTTTATTCATGATTTTCAAGAACAAAATTGTTATTGAAATCTAAGCATCTCTAAGGAAACTTGTTTTCCACGTATTATCAGATTTGTTCCCAATGAATTAATCATAATGAAATTCCCATAAATATAGGTCAGAAACAAGGGATTTAACAAGTCCAAGCTTGCTTCTCCTCGTTGCTCTAGCTTATCAGGTGAGTGAAATGGTTTACTAGATTAGCCTATTATCTGTTACATGAGCCGGTTTATATGTTGCTTGAGTATACATCTAGGTTCAGGTAACGTTTTTCTGGGGATAGAAAAGAATGGCTTAGAGATTTAGTAACACTGCTGTAAACCTATACATTTGTATTGTTCTTTACTTTCCCGTCCCGTTGGCTAAAATGCTGATTAAGGGGTAACAAGGGTTTAACGAAAAAATTCTGTTTATTCTTCTTAGAGCACCCAATATTCAACTTACAGACAAAAAGAATTAAGCTTAATTTGCTTTTTTAAGGTTTCATATCTGAAATCAAGTTTCACGCTAACCCTGGGTTGTGGTAACCTACAATGCTTTGAACAAGCTGAAGAAAACTATTAGGTGCCCGTTGACGTGGTATCAACAAGAATTTTTCAGGAATTTACTCCTAGCGAACAGATATACGTATTTTTTTTTCAATGACAAACTTTAGAGATATTCAGAACAATTGAAAATAAATAAATGCTGACTATCAATTGTTTGTTCCTTTCTGGTGCTCTTGATCGAAATAAGGGAACTGAAAAACTCAGAAAGTCAGCAAAGGACTAAGCGTGCGGAAAATTTACACAAACATTCACATGCCGCAATTCTTCCAACCGATGCTTTTAAACCCCAAATTGGCGCCTCTTCTTGTGCTGGTAAACATCCCTGTAACAGCTCAGAGAAGTACGTTTTAAAAGCTTCTTTTTTACGTTCTATTGTAAACAAGCCTGGTAAACTGCCAATTATGCATCAAAGGAAAGCAAAAATGTTATTTTGTAGGAAGTTTTTAAAATCATATGGACCCGTTTGCGTACTTGTCAAAACGGTCAAGCTACGCTCATGTTACATTCTTCGTTCTGTTTTTCAGTTTCTTTTGAAATCAATCTGTCGTCACAGAATACTAGAAGATGAAACTGCTGTTTATTTTGGTTCTTAGTCTCCTGGCTATGGGTTATGCCAGGGACCAGGAAGGAGAGCTTGCAACCCGAGGACGTAAAAAAGGTAATCATATTAGCTAGAGGGGTGGGGAGGGGGCGAAAGCTACTTTCATGTGGAAATAATTTTTAAGTGTTTTGAAACTGCAAGAAAGGCAGCTAAACTTGTCATTACCGTTGAAGCTTGAAACGGTAAAAAAGCTAGCACTCATTGAATTGGAAAATAAACAATAAGAAGATAAGATACATTGGTCTGCTCTTAGGATATTAAGGATCCCGGAATAAACCACATGTGGCCGGAGTTGTTTTCCAACTCCATCGATTGGAGTACGTACTCGCCTTGTTTTAACGCTTTGGGTATTCAATGACTTTCAGCTATAAATGGTTTAAACTTTCACTGAACATACCGTGTTCAATTTTCCAACTGAAACAACGTTTTCATAACGTTTTGACTCTTCAGGTCCATCTAATGAAAGGTTTACATATTCGGGTTAAATCTAAATTGGTATGGTAATTTTAACTACTTTCAAATACGTTCCAATAATTTTAGGCTAACGAATGAAAGAAAATAATTTATATGTAAATGACTAAAAATCATGTATCAACAGGGCCCGCGCAGGGGGAGGGGCTGGGGGGGCCAGGGTCCCCCCACTTTTTGCAAAAAAATAATAATAAAATTAAGAAATACACATTTTCTAATAAAAGGAATCTTTGATGGAATAAGAATTATAGACTGGCGGACCTCGCCAGAGCATCCAAACTTATGATTGGTTCGTTTCGATCCTGTATCATAAGATAAGATACCTTGGTCTGCTCTCGCCAGAGCATCCAAATTTATGATTGGTCCGTTTCGATCCTATCAAATGGTAAGCCTCAAAACGACTATTTTTACAAAACTACACTTAGTCGTAGACTTCTGCGTTTTCACCAGCCAAGTGATGTAGTATATGCACAAACAATGGAGTCTTTTTTTATCAGAAGGTTCTTAAATCTCCACAGAGCTACGATTTCTTCAAAAAAAATTGAACTCCATGACATTGTAGACAACATGAAAACGTTTCAGGAATTCCTCAGCAGAGCATGATAAATGGAATTGTCCCGATCTGCAAGCTTCTACTGGTAAATCCTGCAACAGGAAAAGCCGGGTCCTCTTCGGCAACGCGAAGGTTAAAAACATGGCTCTGTTCAACAGTCAGGGTTAAAGGAAGGTTCTAAACAGTCGCAAGGAGGAAACTGACAAACTTTGAAAGTGAATGAAACACACGAAAATTATGATGCTGCTGTCCATGGTTACACGGGAAATCGCATAGCCACCGGCTTCTTGTAAAGCAGAGACAACTAAAGAGTCAATAAAAACGAAAACGGAAAGCGGAAATTGTTTCTGTATCCGTGTTGTCTAAAGTATTAAGCTTGGATCAATTGTCATTTGTCCACAAATTTGGAATATAGAGCAAGAGAAAGACAGAGAAAAAGAGAAGTAAATGTCGGCGGCAGACCAGCGAAGCTCAACGAGAAAAAGGGCGACAGAGATCGAGAGCGAGAGACAAAAAAAGGAGACACTTTTTTGTTGGAAGAACAACATGAAAATTTTGTAGCGACGGTGACAAAATGAGAATTGCTAGCGGCCACCAATCAAATGCAATGTGAAAATTAGCGGCAGTGAAAAAAAGTGAACGAGAACACTTACGACATTTTCGCCATTAAAAGTGTAACCAAGAAGCTTGAGTCGTGAAAAACAACGGCAAAGAAATCTACAAAAAAAGTGTGCTGCACGTGCAAAGTTGCTTTTTGCCAATTAGACCTATTGTTGTTTTTCACCGTTCTTCGGCGTTGCATTCAGGGCTTAGCATTACACGATTTTATGTTTTGTTTGAACAAACTGTAAATATTAACGAGAGCTTCGCTTTTCGCTCTGGCTAAATGTATATATTACTGAATGCAAGGCTGGCAATACGGCAGAGGGCTGATTTATTTGAGGCCAATATTTGGGCTAACAAAATTAGCCTCCCTCAGAAGCTACACTGAATTGTTCCAAATCCACTTTGCTCCTCTCCCTTCCAACAGCACTTTGGAGAATAAGACATATATCATCCACCAATCATTAATTATTTTTTACAGGCAATTCCTGTAGGAAACAAGAAGGAGCCAAGTGCATCAAAAGAGGAAAACCCTGCCCGCCCGGTACTGAAGCTTGCTGTGATAGGTTCTCCTGTGGGAGGGGATGGAAGAACAGAAACAAAATATGCTGCTGCCCGAAACCTGAGCCGACCACCGAGCCGACGACTGAGCCGACCACTGAGCCGACGACTGAGCCAAGGCCAAGTGTGTCTTTCAAACAATTCTTTAATATCAGGGGCACCCAGTGGATCTGTTCCTCAAAATATCTGTTCTTCACGGCAAATTTTTGCTGGCTGGGAAATTTGGAAAATTAATATGTCCTTGGAAGTTGCCTTGGAAGGAACGTGTTGCTGGGGAATAGACAAGCCAGGGTGTCTGAGGGGATTTGTTGTCCAGAATAGTTCGTATTTGCTCTTTGTCATAAATCTCTTTCCCCCCTCCCATTGAAGGGGTGAAGTTCGCCCCTAGGCCACACCCAATTTCTTTCTATCTAATCCTCCCCGCCCCACCCCCCACTTACAGCTGCAAATGTCATCTGGGTTTTGCGGGAGTTCTCTGTGAAAGACGAGGTAACCATTAAGAACCCTTCTGTAATTTCAATATTGTATTACAAAAGGGATAGCATTGTTCTTATCGAGTCGACAACTTTATTTTTGACAGCTATTCTTTGTTACCTTATGTTTTGTTAGTATGGTATGTACCTCTTATTGGCCGAGTTTGAAGCCCATATTTAGAATACACCCCAAGCATCCATAATTTACATTACAGACCGAGGAACTGAGGCTAAGAAGATGTTTATGAATATAGCTTCCTGTTTGGTGGAAACTGAAACAAGCAACAAGCAGGCAAACAAGNCTGTGGGAGGGGATGGAAGAACAGAAACAAAATATGCTGCTGCCCGAAACCTGAGCCGACCACCGAGCCGACGACTGAGCCGACCACTGAGCCGACGACTGAGCCAAGGCCAAGTGTGTCTTTCAAACAATTCTTTAATATCAGGGGCACCCAGTGGATCTGTTCCTCAAAATATCTGTTCTTCACGGCAAATTTTTGCTGGCTGGGAAATTTGGAAAATTAATATGTCCTTGGAAGTTGCCTTGGAAGGAACGTGTTGCTGGGGAATAGACAAGCCAGGGTGTCTGAGGGGATTTGTTGTCCAGAATAGTTCGTATTTGCTCTTTGTCATAAATCTCTTTCCCCCCTCCCATTGAAGGGGTGAAGTTCGCCCCTAGGCCACACCCAATTTCTTTCTATCTAATCCTCCCCGCCCCACCCCCCACTTACAGCTGCAAATGTCATCTGGGTTTTGCGGGAGTTCTCTGTGAAAGACGAGGTAACCATTAAGAACCCTTCTGTAATTTCAATATTGTATTACAAAAGGGATAGCATTGTTCTTATCGAGTCGACAACTTTATTTTTGACAGCTATTCTTTGTTACCTTATGTTTTGTTAGTATGGTATGTACCTCTTATTGGCCGAGTTTGAAGCCCATATTTAGAATACACCCCAAGCATCCATAATTTACATTACAGACCGAGGAACTGAGGCTAAGAAGATGTTTATGAATATAGCTTCCTGTTTGGTGGAAACTGAAACAAGCAACAAGCAGGCAAACAAGCGATTTGACATAAAAAAAAGGGTTTTTTATAGGCGCTAAAAAAACACCAGCAAATACCTAACTAGGCCTTCTACTGAAAGTAAAATGAAAATGCAAATGCGAAATGTTACAAAAGTCTTTAGTCGGCGGTCAAAACTAGGAGCACCGCAAGTGGCACTGTAAGTAATAACTCGCCAATGTACGCTGGAGTCTTTTTATAATTGGATACTGTGTCTGCTTTAAATCTCCTCCATCTTTCTTTCTTCCGTCTGTGATAAACAATTTAAATGGCAAAAAAGCGTGTTGAGATGATCAAGTGCCTTTTCTTGTCTTAAGCTATGCCAATGTACACTGTATTTACAAAATTCACTTTTGAGATTGTAATTGTGTTTTTTTTTTTTTCATTTATCTAACCAAATTAGGTAAAACTTGCAGTGAAATAAAACTGCACTTTCCGATAGCTACAAGTGGATCGTACGTTATCGACCCCGATGGAGAAGGAAGCTACGAACCATTCACTGTTCATTGTGACATGACAGACAAGAACGGAGTTGGTGTGACAGTTGTTGGTCATGACAGTGAAAGCAAGACCCTGGTCACTGGCTATGAAAGGCAAGGAAGCTATGTACGTTATATTCATTACACAGGAAGCGGCCTGACAAGCAATGCTCAATTGTTTGGTCTTCTGAACATCTCTACACATTGTGAGCAGTTTATCAAGTACCAATGTTATGGCTCTCTCCTCTTAAACGCGGGTAACCAATATGGATGGTGGGTCTCACGTGACAACGTCAAAATGACATACTGGGGAGGGGCCACTCCTGCGGATTCCTACAAGTGCGCATGCGGGGTGAGCAACTCATGTGCAGACAGCAGCAATGGATGTAACTGCGATAAGAATGATAACGTGTGGCGTGAGGACAGCGGTCTCCTTACTGAAAAGTCTCACCTTCCAGTTTCACAGCTGAGATTTGGAGATACAGGCCATCTAGTAGAAAAAGGTTACCACACGCTTGGGAAACTCAAGTGCTACGGAGGTCAATAGTGTGCTACAGTCATTCCTTAACGCCTTTGTCCTTGCACAAAATGCTCCTGTAGAGTTATGAAGAAGGTATCAGAAAAATTTCATCAGGGAGAACTAACCATAGATTTCTTGTTGTTGTAGTTTCAAATTAAGCAATTGAGTTCATTCTGAATAGCTTTCTGGATCGCAATTACTGTTACACATCAAGAGCATAGAATACAAGCTTGAGTACATGTGACAATTCTTATTTTCAACTAAGTATATGGTCAATAAATGGGTTAAAAAGGAAAAAAGCGTCTGACTGGTATAATAGAGAATGCTATCGATTTTCGTCAGCTTTGCCCTCTATGCATGTTATGTAGCCCCAGGTCCTAAATCTTGAGTTTGTTGAATTCTACTCCAAGTCTTTTAGTTTTGTGTCACTACTTTGGTTCTAGTTCTTTATGGATCGATAACTGACACCATCTGCCCTCCCACAGGCTCCTGGCCCTCCGTCTCTATCAAGCCCCACCCCCCCCCCCTCCCCACCCCAAACGTGCTTTAAATAAATAAGCCATACGGGGCACTTAATAGAGGATTTACGGTATTTCATTATAACCAAGATAAAACGCCCTTTACATCCCTCTTTTCCTAGTTTCCCTTCAGTCGTAAACCCCTCTGGTTTTTTTTTTTTTTTTTTTTTTTCTTTTTTTTTTTTGTGAGGTGAAGGAGTAAAGTCAATTGCGCATGTCAAATCTATAATTGTCAAGCTTTTGGTTGTACAAAGGATAATAAGACGTTGCTTAGCATTTTGACTGTTTCCTGTGGACATTTTATTTAATTTCCATAAAATAATACTTAAGGTAAAGAAAAAAAGGTAATGCCCCTCAACAAAGGCCACAGCTTCTTCTGCAGAAAGCTTCCATGTAAACTTTATTCCTTTCACATTCTCCATCCTTTGCCCATTCAGGACATTGACGAACATCGTAGTCGCTACATTCTAATAAAGCACACACACAAAAAAACAAGAAGTCATATGATAAAAACATTATTTGTCACTGTTTGAACGTGATGGCATACTAATTTTATCGTTTGTATCCCTGACCGAGTATTCAGTCACTTTTTTATTGATCACAACTGTTTTCGACCGCTTGACGCCTAACAATGACGTGGTTTGTCCATGAGGGGCTATTAGACATTTTGTTTAATCATATTTTTTTTCTCTGAATTAATGAGGGTAGTGTCGCTCCTTAATAGATTCCCTTTAAGTTTTGATAAAGACCAGATACCCNGGGGGGGGGGAAGGGGGGTTCGATTTTGGATGCCTAAACAGGTCAGAGTGAAGCTTGTAGTTATCCTGTGGGCTATTTATATAGCAGGAGACTGGGGCCGGCATATTCTCACACAAATTTTACAAAACAAACAAGAAGGCTTTTCTGCCGGTGTGTTGTTATCCTGAAAGAATTAAGCTAAGCTTTTGTACACTATACTTTTGTTTGCTCACTAAAATGCTCTACCTTAATGCTCCATTATTCCACTAAAATGCTTGGTCTCCTCAGAAAAGGCACTAAAATGCTCGATAATGCTCATCATACAAAAGCTTTTTTATTAATTTTAACGCTGAAAAACGTATAAGTGTTAAAACAACAACGTATACAAGTTAATGGATATTATATACACATAACAGAGCAAAAGATAATACTCTAGACGGCTGTGTTCGATTGACATTTGAGATTTGTTTTGAACTTCGACATGAAGCTCACAAGTTTCCCTTCAAGAATCTTTCATTCTCATTTTCTCTCTTAAAAAAGAATAATTTTCTGGAAAAAAATCCACTCATTTAAAATTCACAAATAATGCCAATGTTTACTGAGTTATAGCCGATGAACTAGACATCCGTGAAACAGCCCTCTTAACTGACACTTAAGAATTTTGCTAAAACAACCAGGTTCGCTCAGGGAAAATGAAACTATTGTCCTTTAAGGTTATTGAATTTGAAGCCGTATTTTCACACTATTCAGGCCAGTTTAGAACTGTCTTTCTTGGGAGGGAGAGAAGTCCGGGCACCATTCTAATCAGCCTGGTTGGTCGTACATTTGGAGCTTGCTGATGCACTGAATTAGCGTAAGAATGACGTCAGCGTGTCATTGACAAAGGTTGTGTTTTAATTTTGACTTTATCGCCGTTTTTATTAGACGTAGAAATTGAAGCTTAAATTTTAATCGTTAGTTGCAAGAAAATGAGAGTGCAAATTGAGTTTTATCGACACAATCTGTCATTTCTATAGTTTTCCTTGTGTGGTAACCTGTTGCGGCTAATGGATGCTGTAATGTGCCCTGTTAGAGAGCTAGAGAAACTGTCCACCTACCCCTCCCCTAAACCAACGTCTTGCCCTAAGTGAGAAGCAAGTGTTACTGTTGGCTTAAGTTTCCCAGAAAATACAGCCTCAGGTTAGAAGCATGGGTTTGGGACAGTCTTTTTGATCGATTAATAAAGTAGCCTGTGAGTTAAAATAAATTTCTTTGTGTGAATTGGTGTTTTAAACGATTTCTTGCCTGCAATTAAATGCGCTGAGAAGATTGTAATATCAACCACGTACATCAACAAAAGCATAAATATAAAGATTATTCTATTATTCTTTTTAATATGGTTCTTGATTTTTCACGAAATTTTATACTCACGAAATTAAGTGAGAATACAAAATGTAAGCTGCTAATATTTTTTTTATTATTTTGCTTCTAGAGGAGGGCTTAAGGGTTTGCAATGATACCATTTTGCTCGATTTTAGTGTAGTTTTGTGGGAATTTTTATTTCAAGTTGCAGTATTGCGGTTTTACAAAACCAAGCAGTTTCCGGTATTTGGAATTTTCAGGGAATGTTAAAAAGGTTTTCAGTTGTTTATGTTATTCTGTGCGGTGTTTAAACGTATTTCTGTGGTTTTGCGGTCTTCATACCCCCCTTACATTGTACGTCTCCCTGCTCCCCTCTGGCATTTTATCAAGAGTGCATTAAATCAAATAAATATGGTATATCACACATATAACTGTAAAGAAAAAATTAGAAGAGTTGTTTACCTTGTCCTCAGAGCTGCCTTTTCTTGCTGATCTTGTTTTCTGATTGTATTACATTGTCTTGCAGTTTGCCTTGCTGTTCCTCTTAATCAAGATTCCAAAATATCTAACACAGTGCAGTCTATCACTGAAAGAAAATGACAATGACAAAAATTAAGTTAACATAATTATTGCAACTTTTTTAAGGTTAGAACTTGTAAAAGACACCCCTAGCAGTGAAGAAGACAAGAAAACTTTCTTGTTTAGCAATTTATTCATATTTTAAAGACAGTCTATTTATTAAGGGATGCAGCATACTAAACTGGATATGTGAAAGGGGTTAGAGTTAGATAATGACATTTGTAACTCAATCTCTCTTTCCAGGGTTTGTACAGAGTTTTGGATCCAAAATTCAACATTTTTTTTCAGACTTCTTCCAAAACAATAATTTCTTTTTCGAGACTCAAGGTTATCAAATAGGTGAGCAATAGAGACCTTAAATACAGGAGGAACAAAGCTTTATCAACGATGCGCTGCAAACGTACTGGCAAGATTGAATACGATTGACAAACAGGAAAAAAATTTCACTTGTAATTAAAAAGCACTTATTGTAGCTTTTAAAAAAACTTTTTACACTTTTTTTTCCAGACTTTTTCTCTGTTTTTCAGACTTTTTCCAGGTCTGGAAAATTGCTGGGCAAATTTCAAGACTTTTTCAAGAATTTAACACTCTGTATGAATTCTGTCTCCTTTAAAGTGAGTCTGAAAAAGTATATTATTAACAGCTACAAGTCTAGTAGATTTGAATAGTTTCATTATCATAGAAGTTTACCTGTCCTTTAATAACAATAATTATTTGTCGTTTGTAATATATCATGTTTGCCATAATTTTAGTATTTATTAATTTACAGACTGATTGTTCTTGATACTCATTTACTGTACCTTCATCTGTTCTTTTTTGGAATTAATTGTTATACACCTGTAGCTGTGCATGTGTAGCCATCATGAGTTGTAATTGAGGAAGCCTTATGTTATAAGCCCTGTGGTTTCTATTTATGGCTTCCTCACCACTTTTGTTTTGTAGTGCATTTTTTTAAACTTTCTTTCTTTGTATATTTTGTGTGGCAAAATAAATAAATAAAACAAATAAAGGGTACCATTTATCAATATAAGGTATATGGAAGGGGTACCTTTGCAGTCCAAAATGGTATATGATTATATGTAAAAGAGAATGGGGTTGGACCATGGGACAGAGCTCCCCCCCTCCCTCCTGTATAAAATATTTTGTTCAGTACTACTCCCACCACCCCCCAAAGGGAAAATCAGCTTGCCCAAAGGGTAAGATATTATTAGTTAAGTTTTTGAGATGAGATCTGTGAGGAGTTTACACTTCTACATGTAGCCCACTATAACACATTTTGGTAATGCAGTTCCTCGAGGCAAGAGCTCTTGTTTGTCTACCATGAACATGCAGCGGTTGTATTTTGCAAAATGCCGAACAACTGCCAAACCCCAAACAACTCTGAAATTTAGTGATCTGGGTTACGAAACTGAGTGACTCAAGTTCCAGGTTAGTTCACCCAGTATACTACAGCTGCTGTAGGTCCGTCAAACTGATTCACATTTTTTGTTTCCTAACCCTAATCACTAAACTTTGGAGTCATTTGGCATTAAGCAGCCCTTCAGTGCTCTGAAAATACCCCTGTGATCAATATATGTGCATTAAAAAGTATCCATAAGCAAACAATTGGCTAATGTTTTTTAAGCATTTCTTTCCATATTTCCTGCAAAACGAACCTGCAATCAAGGGAAAGCTCTGGTGAGCAGACAATGACAGAGGCCTTGTGGGTGTGGCAGGTACAAAACACAGGTCACAGGTCAGATCACAAGTGCAGGCTAGAGTACAGGTCACCTTGCAACACTTTGTGATGCTGTAAAGGGGCAGCAGTATCAATGAAGGGAAACAAGCCAATATGTAAAAAAAATGTGGTGA